AGCTTTAACGAGCATCCCACCCGCGTTGGCAACTAAAAACATGTCAACGATTTTGCAAGAAAATAAGAGAGGCGGATTGCAGTGTGACTGCGGGAAGAGAGAGAGTGAGCGAAGAAATAGGGTTGAGTTTTGTGTATTGTGAAGTGATTGATATTTTGCCTGCACACATTGTGAAGTGATTGATATTTTGCTTGGACTTACTCCGTGCAGTGAGGCAAAAAAATTTTAAAAAAATTAAATGGCACGGAGGGCACTGTTGAAGTGAACAATGTTTTGTTTGTTTGTTTTTTTATTTTTTTTATTATTTTTTTTAAGCGAGGAAGCAAAAACGACGTCGTTTGCCTTGCTTGATATATATTTTATTATACAGTAAATAAATGCAATCTAAATTTACTACAACACGCAATTTTCCATGCCTCTCACCAAAAATTTAAAGTGATATATAGATATATTTAATTTAAAAAATTAAATATTAATAAAAAGATTACTATAAAATTAAATATCTTTCGAAATTATTAAAAATAAAAATACTAATAATATAAGACAGAAAATAGATAATATATATTCGTTTGTGGTACTTAAAAAAATATATGTAAAAAGTTATTAACAAATAAAAATATTACTAATAAATTTATGTATGTAGGGTATTTATTATCAACTCGCCTTCAATTAAATTCACGGTAATGGGATTTGTGTTTATTATTAACTGGTGTTTAATTAAATTCATGGTAATGGGAAAAAAATTGCTTGAACGAATAAATTAAAAAAAGAAAATTTTAGATTTTTTCTATGATTTCAAAAACGATTTTCTTATTGATGATTATAAAAATTCCAAAATGACTGCAAGCTTAAAATGCACACAAACACGAACTGTCAAATAACCCATCCTTTTTGTGTGAAGAAATTGAGAAATAGAGCAGCTAACGTGTGAAAATGAAGAAAGAGGAAAGAGGCATAGTTGAGATTATTAAAAATAATAATGGACAGGATGATACAAAATTGCAACAAGTGTCTACTCAAAAATTGCCTCTTCAATACGTAAGTAATAGTAATATAATAATATAAAAAGATCGAAGACAAAACTATGTTGTTTTTTCCCACGATTGAGGGGGGAATAACAAACTTGCTGCAGAAAAAATTGACATCATTTTGCATTTCATACAATAGAATGGGAATGAGATTGGAATACCGTTGTATCTACAGTACCTAATTCATTGGTTTTTTATATAAGTTCAGATAAAGAAATTGAATGATTTAACAAATTAAACAACAAAATAATTAGAGACAAAAATAAAAAGAAACAAAAAAGTTTATTATAATGTTTTTAAATTAAATCAAAATAATTAAAATTAAAAATAAATAATATTTAAATTGCATTTTAAATGAAAAGAATTAAAAAGAAATTTAAATCGAAACAAAGTAATTAAAATATGACGAAAAAAGAAATTTTAAAACAATTTTCAAAAAAATATAATAAAAACAAAATAAAAGAAAATTACAAAAATTAAATAAAGAATATATAAATATTATTTAGTTAAAATTGAAAAATTAAGTGTTATTACGAAGAGAAAAGAATTAAAAAGAATTTTAAATTGAAAAAAAATTTATTTATGATGTAAAAAAATAAAAAAATAAAAATGTCTCCACACATGGAGACATGCATTTATCTCTGTGCTGCACATGAAGACTCTTAAACTCCATGCACAGATACTCACGAAGAGATTTAAATTTTTTTTTTCGTTTTCGTTTTTGTTTATATTATAAATAATTGTTTTGTTCAATTTAAAATTCTTTTTAATTCCTTTCTCTTCAATTTTTTTTTACTCACAAGTAACTTTTTATTTCTTAGAAATATTTTCTGTCTTATTTATTAGTATTTTTATTTTTTAATAATTTCAAACGATATTTAATTTTATAGTAATCTTTTTATTAATATTTTTTAATATCTAAATATTATTTTAAATTTTTGGTGGGAGGTATGGAAAGTTATATGTTGCAGTAAATTTAGATTGCATTTTTTATTGTATAATAAAATATATATCAAGTAAGGTAAATGACGTCGTTTTTGCTCCCTTACTTAAAAAAAAAAAAAAAAATACTATAGTGAGATAGAATGGAACAAAAATTGAATGATTTAACAAATTAAACAACAAAAATATTACACGCAAAAATAAAAAGAAACAAAAAAAAGTTATTATAAAGTTTTTAAATTAAATTGAAATAATTAAAATTGAAAATAAAATTATTTAATTAAAATTGAAAAAAAATTACGTTTTAAACTAAAAGAATTTTATATTGAAAAAAATATTTATAATATGAAGAAAAAAGAAAATTTAAAATAATTTTCAAAAAAATATAATAAAAATAAAATAAAAGAAAGTTACTAAAATTTTAAATAAAAAAAATATATAAATATTATTTAGTTAAAATTGAAAAATTATGTTTTATTATGATATTAAAAAGAATTTTAAATTGAAATTTTTTTTTATCTCTAATGTAAACAATATATATATATATATATATCCTACGTGCACGGAGACTCGGAGATTTTTTTTTTTATTTTAAAAACATTATAAATAATTTTTTTTTAATTTAAAATTCTTTTCTCTTCAATTTTTTTACTTACAAGTAACCTTTTACATCTTAGAAATATTTTCTTTCTTATTATTAGTATTTTTATTTTTTAATAATTCCAACCGATATTTAATTTTATAGTAATCTTTTTATTAATATTTAATTTAAAGAATTAAATATATCTAAATATTACTTTAAATTTTAAGCTAACTTCGTGAAAGGTATGAAAAGTTGCGTGTTGCAATAAATTTAGATTGCCTCTTTTTTACTGTATGTATAATAAAATATATATCAAGCAAAGACAAATGACGTCGTTTTTGCTTCCACATTTGAAAAAGATAAATAAATAAAAATACTACAGTGAGACAAAATGCAACAAGTCACTTTTGATTTCTACAATAACTTCACATTCTCCTTTTTATATAGTAATGAAACATATATTTTGAACTTCAAATAATTAAACTAATAAAATACATGTTCCAAGACAAAAATAAAATACAATGCACATCTAGTATTTTCAAGAATTAGTTAAGTGTAAGTTTGTTATAATTAATGTGTCAATTAATTAATGCATGGCCTTTTCACAAGCACAATTGTGAGAGTTTAAAACAAGAGTGATACTACATGTATACTTCTTGTGTATATAATATATTACAACAACCCCCTCATATGGAGGGGGTCCGCATATATTTTATTATATGCAAACTCCCTTCATATAAGGGGGAAGCAGAGCCCTTTCATATAAGGGGGTGTAATCTATTATGTACTAAAGAAGTGTACAAACAGACTAATTCTTTGAACAATTTGAAAGGGTTGACATAAGTTGTGTCATTTAGTGACTTTGAACCATCAACTTAAAAATTCAATTCCATACAAGTATGTGAATATTCAAATACATTAACTGTTTTACTCTATATCGAGATATTGAACATGTTAAAATTACGTAAAACATCTTACATTACCAGTAAATGCGAAACTCTTGTTAGTATAGCTAAATTGAAGTTTTCACTCAAGTGAAAACAAGCATTAAAAGGAAAAAAAGAGAAAAAAATGGAAAATAAGATTCAATTCTTCTCAATCAAAGTTTGGGGTGAGGTCTCTAACGTGGTTGGTGCGAGTTCTATACTATCATAACGATTGAAAAGGTTACAAAAGGACTCCAAGAATTTCACCTTTCTCTGTCTCTAAAAATAGTATCATTATTCTAAGTCCAAATTATGACAATGTGATTTAAAAAAAATAAAATAAACCGAGTTTGAAGAATGGTAGACAAACAAAGGATCTTCATATGAATCCTGACCCATGCAGCTCTAAAATTTCACATGATAGTATAATATGCCATGTTTGAATTCTCCATTTGGCTAATTCATCTCTGTCCCCATGAAATATGTGCATCTAAACGATATTGGAATGTGTGGAATCAAAATTCATTCGATACATGAATAAATGGAATAAAATTTAGACAACTACAAATCCAAATTTGAGAATAATTCTTCTCTAGATTAATTTCCAGTTTCTACAGTATCTTTTCCTGTCCAAAAAGAGAAGGATACAGAAAAGCTGTGTACATACAGTATAATCATCCGAAGATATTTTTACCATCAACAGACACAGCTTAGCGACAAATAGGCCAAAATTTCAAAGATATTAAATAAAAAAGGAATTTGTCATCCCTGTGAATGTTCATCCTTGGCTTCTTCAATGGTCACCTCGTCTGCTTTCTTACCTGAAAAATAAAATTTACGAAAGCATTTATCAACTAAGCACGATGATGCATGAACCACCGCATATGTCGTAAAGATATGATTTCCGACTTACCTTTCTTCTTCTTCCCTCCACCTTTCTTCTTCGTCTTTGTACCTAAAGATAACCAGGCTTTTATCTCAGGGTCATCTACTGTTTTAGCAGGCTGCAACTCCTGCAGATAATGGGATGTGATGCGGTCCGACCCATTTGGCATTAGCAAAACAGTGAATTTGATGTGTGCAACTAGATCACCTGCAATGCAGTCATAAATATCCGAACAAAGTTCACGTTGGCCATTTTACCAGTAAATTTACTTCTAAGTTTCAAAATAAATAAGGTAACAGCTACTTTCTAGAAAAGCAACATACTATTCTAACACAATTGCAGACAAGTTGAACTTTTTTCAGCTTCAAATATTCAGAAAATCCCAAGAAGAATACTCGTACCAGGCTTCTCATGCAGAACAGGATATGGCTCCAAGAGGTCATGATTAAGACATTCCACTAGGCCAAGTCGGGTGCGTTTTTCTTCCAAAGCCCTGTTATAATTTCATCCTGCTCGTTATCTTTACAAAATAACGTACAGCCAATAATAAATTGTATACTTTGAAGATTGCAAATAAAACAAAAGAGCGAGATATACCTAGCAGTAAACGGCATGATTGGAAACTTCTGGTTTATCTCACTATATATGAATCGGGATGCTTTCATCTTTAAATGGTAATTCTTATCAACAGCTCTCTTATAAATGGTTGTCTGTTTCTCATCCAATAACTTGGGCTGTGCAAATTTAATACTCATTCCATGTTAGGGCTAATAAAAATTAAATTTAATGCTTGATAAGAGAAGAATGAGTATAATGATTACCTTGCCTTCGCCAGTGCTTGTAACTATATCGATAGCATAAACCTCATTCTCCTCAAACTCAGCATCGTCTACTCTTGTTTCAGGCGCTGAAACACTCAATACAACCTTGTTTCCATCAATTACAAATTGTTTCATTTGATGACTGAGAACCCCTTCAACAATCTTGCAGTCATAAGCAGCAGCGACTTTCTGAATTGCTTCAGTAACATCTTTGTTCTGCCATTAACAGAAACATAAAAATCATTAAAATATGTCAACACATGAAAGTAATTTGAGACAGTAATAAATATCAAAACAAACACGGAATCAAGTTGCATGTCACAGCCATATTTTAACCCATTTGATTAGCAAATATTAAGTTTCTATTCACAAGTCATCTTATCAAACAAGCAAAGTTGCGCAAGTCAGAAACTTATTAATATCTAGGATAAGATGGTTGAATGGAAAGACAGGATTAATCATGAACATTTCAGCAAAGCAAAATATCAGCAACTGCCAGCATATAAATCAGTCTTGAATATAAGATATGCAGCCTCTGCCAATATTGGCAACAGGGAAAAGAGGAAACTAAATACAGAAATTGATTACCTCGGCAAAGTTGACTTTTCCAAAAAGGGATACAAAAGCTAATACTTCAGCTTAGTTTAGACTAACACGAGCACTTTAATATTCACATCCGTATGACTCAGGTAAGCATTTAACTTTGCCCTATCAGTGTAACTATGACAAAAGCTTCACCTGGAATATTATTCCATAGCTTTTTACTAGTATTTCATCATTTAGAGGCTCATTTAACCGATAAATTACAGTTTCACATCAAGCAAGGTCACCAAAAACTATTAGCTTTTCAATCAGCTAAGACTACTCTTTGGACACCATACCTTAGGAATTATTACTATTAAATTCCATGTTGGCATACTGTTGGCTGGTATAGCAAGAACTTACCAGCATAAATATTCAAGCAGGCCATTTGCATTATAGGCAACAGGGAAAAGAGAGGACTCAAAAAATTAATCGCCTCGGCAAAGTTGCCTGTGTAGCTCTATAAATTTCATTAAATCTGTGTATCACTACGTTCTTCACAAGTACACAACTAATCTTAGTGCAATTCATGTTACTATTAAATACAATGTCGGTACACTTGAATTGGCTGGTATAGTAAAATCTCACCAGCGGAAGTATTCAAGCAGGCCAATCGTAATGTAGGCAACAGGGAAAAGAGGAGACTCACAAAGAATCAATCGCCTCGGCAAAGTTGCCAGCGTAGCTCTATAAATTTCATTGAATCTGTATTACTATGTTCTTCACAAGTACAGCATAACCCATCTTATTACAATTCATCTTACAAGACTACTCTCTAGACGTTATGCTGTAGGATTTACAACTATTAAATACAATGTTGGTATACTTGAATTAGCTGGTATGGTAAGAACTAAGAACTTGCCAGCAGAAATATTCAAGCAGGCCAATTGTAATATAGGCAACAGGGAAAAGAGAGGACTCAAAAAATTAATCGCCTCGGCAAAGTTGCCTGTGTAGCTCTATAAATTTCATTAAATCTGTGTATCACTACATTCTTCACAAGTACACAACTAATCTTAGTGCAATTCATGTTACTATTAAATACAATGTCGGTACACTTGAATTGGCTGGTATAGTAAAATCTCACCAGCAGAAGTATTCAAGCAGGCCAATCGTAATGTAGGCAACAGGGAAAAGAGGAGACTCACAAAGAATCAATCGCCTCGGCAAAGTTGCCAGCATAGCTCTATAAATTTCATTGAATCTGTATTACTATGTTCTTCACAAGTACATCATAACCCATCTTATTACAATTCATCTTACTAGACTACTCTCTAGACGTTATGCTGTAGGATTTACAACTATTAAATACAATGTTGGTATACTTGAATTAGCTGGTATGGTAAGAACTAAGAACTTGCCAGCAGAAACATTCAAGCAGGCCAATTGTAATATAGGCAACAGGGAAAAGAGGAGACTCAAAAAGAATCAATCGCCTCGGCAAAGTTGCCTGTTAGCTCTATAAATTTCATTAAATCATTATCATTATGTTCTTTACAAGTACCCC